GCAGCTACGAGTCCAGCTGGGGGCTCGATGGTGATGTGAATAGAGCTTTGGGCATTAATTTTATGGGATGGCTTGATATCACCCCTGCAGAAGAACAACGAATTTAAAGCAAGCTCTGAGATTGGAAAATTAAATAAAAGCTTATTGAGTTGAACTGTATTGTTCTCTGGATCCTGCTGTCTGATACCTTTGTCATCCTTAGCCTTCTGTGGGACGGATGCAATTAATTTCAATTTTAGAATTTTTTTTAATAGACTACAGCACAACAAATTGGTATTTCCTTGAAAGCTACTAGTTGGTCAGCCATTAGGGAAAAAAAGCAGTGCTTTTGAGCTCATGGCAGAATAAGAGGGAGACAGACAAGAGAGAGGCAGCTCCTGTCCCATCTACACAGCAGCAAAAAGCCTCAGCTGCAGGTATTCAGAAATGCTTCTCAGGGTGGACTGTCAAATAGAAAAACAAATCACAGAAGTACTGCCCAATTTAGTTGTCAGAAAAATCTGAAATTCTAGAAAGGAATTTTGCATTCCTTTGACTTGCTATATTTTTGGAAATGTTCCCTCTCAAAGACCCAGAGCATGTGGGAGCAACACAGAGGACATCCAACAGTTCAACTGAGTGATGTGGCATACAATGAAGGCTGCCCCTGTTACAACTTCCAAGCCAGGGTTTTACTCCGTAAGGCTGAGGTCATTACAGCTCATGGAGCCGAGACAGTGCAGTGCAGTGATGCACAATCCTTGGGAAAGGAAGATGTTTCCTTAATCAACAGTAACGTGGATATTTTTTATTTCACAATTTCTTAATCACCAGTAACTTGGATACTCCTGGTCATCCCAGCTTCATTTCTTTAATGATCCATGTGCCTTCCCATCTACTACAATGGTTACATCTGATTATGAATTTACTGCTGGATCACGTAATGAGATAAGAGGCATACTCACTTTACTAAAAACTATGAAAAATATTTAAGGAACTAGAAATCTATAAGCTTCCTTTTCAGTTTTCAAGAGGTGCTGCCTAGGAGGACAGCAAGACTGACAGCAGGTGAACTGGACCTTGACTGTGACTTGCTGAGGAAGGCAGAGGCTCTAGTTACTGTCCAGGGACAATCACTGCATTCATGGCAATTTCTACCACATGAAGTTCTGATGGAGGATACAGATGAGAGAGAGGCCTGTAACACCCCATCTGCGTCTCCTCAGTGGGAGCCAGGCTGTCTCATCTGCACTTAGTCTCTAATTCCTACCTTTCCAGGTAGGAATTACCTGCTTTAAATCAGGTCCAGCAGCCCCAGCTCTCCCCTAAAATGCTCCAAGTACTAAGGATCCAAGCTCCTTCAGGTGAAGAGGATCTAAAAAGAGGTTCTAAAACCCATGTCCTGGACAAGTGGTTAACCCCCAGCTATTATGCTAAAGGCACTACGAATACTGAGCCCCTTTCCTTTGTAAAATGTCAGCCTTGCTTCATTAGGTGGCCACCTCCGAAGAGTACACAGTGGTCTGGGAAGCATCTTCAGCAACTTTTAACAGTGCTTTCCAGCAAAGTCAGAAGGGGAAACGTAAGAGTTTAAACAGGTGGGCTGAGGCACATCTTCAGATCTTCAGAAGCTCCAACCCCCCTGCCCTGCTGATGGGGAACTCAAGGCTTCAGAAAAGTGTTTTAAATTTAAAAAACAAAGTCTTTCAATATTACTTTTGGTAGTTTAGGAGACCTTCCTCTCCTTCATAAGCATTCATAATAGCCAGAGAACACTAATCGGCTTTAGCTGTAGAGGGAAGATCCATTTCTCCAGGGTTGGGAAGTGGGAATCAGCTACAGCTCTTGGAAGGTAAAAATAAATACTCCCTGCCCTGAAGGAACTGACTGTTACTGGTACTTCAAGCAGTCAGCAGTCTGGGAGAGGTGTGAATGGTCCCATGGCCTGAAAACACTGCTTCAGGACACTGATCTCTATCTTCCCTAGCTCCCTTCCCCAAAAACAGGTGTACAAAATTCCAGCCAGGCAATACTTACTTTAACTACTGTGTACACAGCATTAAGGATGAGGCATGAGGATCCCATATTATGTTTTATTATTTCTCTGTAAGTACTAGACAGGGATTTGTGACAGATAAGAATTAGGGGTGTTTGCTCTCATTGTGGCTTCTACAGCCACTTATTCATGCCATTTCCCTAGCACTATTGCTACATGGACTGCAACGTATCATAAAATTCATAGTAAAAAGTACTGTGCATCCTTTTTTCTCATTTATTACAGTGTTTCAGAGGAAGTAGCTTGTCTCATTAAAAGTGACTGAAAAATATTATAAATGAAAAAAACCTCCTGACAGTCTATCAAAATCTAACATTAATATATCTACCCCAAATCAAATCACTATATTTATCAACACTTACAAATGCTTTATAATCACATGACTGGAAGATAAGTTTCTCTGGATGATGTTGCCAATATTGTACAGGTGTTGATGCTGTGGCTTCATTTGGAGGTCGCAAGGTAATTGAAGGCTCTCCCCAGTCTCCTGTCTGAAAATCACAGTTGTTCAAGATATAAAAGAAGTTGCAGGCAAATACGCTATAAAGTAGCCCTTCACTGTTGTGTTCAATTCACAATAATTTATTTTCTACACGTAGAGCCATGTTACTAAAATAAGGGAATACAACTCCTACAACATTCTTCATGATTTAATTTACAATCCAAAGTCATCTACTGTAGTGTTTAATGAGGCTTTAATTAAATCTATTTGTTTTGAGCATAAAATAATTAGGCACCAGAAATGTTCCCTAAAAATAACTGTTTACAATACATGTATGAGAATGAGAACACTTGATAAAAAATCATGAGATGCAAAAAAAGGCCATTCACAAATTCCACTATGTGTTTTACAAGCTTTTCTACACAGTTAATAAGTCTTCCATTATCCAGCACATATAACTGATAACTAACTTTCCTAAGTGGCTAAATAACTGAGCCTTTGCTTTGATCTGAAGACTTTTTATTCATTCTTCAAACTTATGAGCCATTCTTTAATCTTTTTATGAATATTTACTTTGATCACCTTCTCTTGATGTCTCATTGTAGAGTTACTAAGATTGCTCTTCCACATTCATCATTCTCATTGATATAGATGATTGACTTCCTGAGCTGTCATCTTCCCTCAAAGCCCTCAGAGAACATGGCTAGAACTGCAGTTTGCTGCCAGTTTCCTTTACAGGACACTCTTCTTTCTTCCAAAAAGAGCAAATGCAGGCATTGGTAAAAAAAGGCAGTGCTGGTCTGGGTCTCCCCTGCCACTGCATATTTTTGGACATGGCTTTGTTAGACCTGGACTGACCTCTGGGCTCTCGTGTGCTCCTTCCACCTTGCAGGCCCATAAAAAAAAATATTATTTTGAGGTTATTTATTTTTTTAACTGTGATCTCTCTTTTGGTCCACATGTGCTCATGCCGCTCGTGTCCTCAACACCAGGGATGCTGCCAAACCAGCGTCACCACTGCATATTTTTGGACATGGCTTTGTTAGACCTGGACTGACCTCTGGGCTCTCGTGTGCTCCTTCCACCTTGCAGGCCCATAAAAAAAAATATTATTTTGAGGTTATTTATTTTTTTAACTGTGATCTCTCTTTTGGTCCACATGTGCTCATGCCGCTCGTGTCCTCAACACCAGGGATGCTGCCAAACCAGCGTCAGCTCACTTTAACTGAAAATGACCCGTGGATGGAGTCCTTCTCCTCTTCCCCAGCCTTCTTCCCTCTCTCAACAGCTCCACTTCCCCCCTACTCTGTCTGGTCTGGTCTGTCTCTGAATTCCTCTCTCCTTCCCACTCTGTCTCTTAGGGTTCAGATTTCTCCCGCCTGATCCTCCTTTCTCTCCTGCTTGTTCTCTCTCAAACTATTTTACCCTCTCCTATAGAATTATTTCAATTTGGATTATGCTACTTCTTTCTTTACCCGCACTTATCTCTGTGTATTTTCTATGCATGTCATATTGTTAAAATATGTGTTGAAGCTGGCAAGGAATTGTCATCAGCATTTCACACAGAATATGGCTAGAAATTAAGACGTTTAAAGCAAAAAAGTTAAGCATCAAGAACACATGAAAAATTCTTATAAAAAACATTAAAAAGTCTGGCAAACTATCACATCCTACTAATTAAATCAGAACAGAGTAAACAAAACAAATACATCATTTTCATGTGTCACAAAATAATGAAATGGCACACATTTGCACAACTCTGCAATGAAAAGCAAGAGATAAATCTGGAAACATCAACATTACCCTGCCGATATGGTAACTTAAAGCAAGTGAACATCATAAAACAAGTCGAACCTGGTTAACGGCACTATTAGCACATCTACAAATTATACAGTATTGTAATTTCTTTTGCCTAGTTAAGTTATCTATACACTATGTATATGACTTTGACCTCAAATTTTGAAAGGAAAGCAGCAGCAGCAATTGCTCCAATTTTTGGCATTCTATATCCACAGAAATGAATCTTTCTGACCACTGATGTATAAAAACCTTCATCATATTTAATCTGAAGTGTGAATTTGATTTCTTTAAGAAGCAGTTCTCATAAAATGTTTCAACCATATTACAAGGGGTAAGGATCTGCATCCTTATTAGCTGAGTTTGTATTTGACTACAAGAGAAGATGAATTGCATTCATCAGAAATTCTCACAGAGTGCTCAGCTGTCTCTTATGAACTGTTCAAGGCCATAGCTAACAGACCACTTGAAATAGTCTTTGTTTTCCCCCTAATAAAGATACACTCCTGCATGTTCTGGGAAAAGAAGCAGATCTCAGAAGGTACATCTTATCCACTTAGCAAAAGGTTTTTATGATGGAACAGGAGTAACTCCAGGACAGAGAAGCTAAAAAGTACATCTTTCGACCATTGGTCCTTCCATCGAGGAATCACAGGGATTCAGGAATAGAATTTCTACAGAATAAGTGGCCCTGGGTAGTGCTCCAAACCTTTCTGTTGCTCTGATCTGCAGGTGACTTTTCTCACATGCAGAAAATGGACAGTGCTGACAAATGAAACAGGATACATAAGGAGTAAAATAAGTACATAATTTTACAGTTTGACTCCCTTTTGCATGAAAGATATTAAAAGCATGGAGAACTGCATTGTTTCTGTCTGTAAATGAAGGCTGGTAACAAGAGGAACAGGGGCTAGGAAGCAATAATTACAAGGTAATAAGAAATAATCTTCAATCAGGCTAATAAACTAGCATACGAGACACTTATAAAGGGACTGTGTGAAAATCATTAATTTGTATTCATTAATTGCTCTATAAATATACACAATCATCCAAGTACCCACTCCTTTTAAAATAGACAAAACAGAATTGATGTGATTGCTGTACATCTGTAGGATGATCTAAATACGCAGTACAGCTGAGGTTATGGGAATGCAGAGACACAAGATGTCTGCTCTTCCTGACTGTCCTGGTTTTCAGCTGAGACAGAACTAGATTTCTTTTCAGTAGCTAGAATAGGGCCATGTTTTGGTTTCAGCCTGGGATTTGTTATGAGAGAAACACTGATAACATACCAGTGTTTTCACTTTTGTCCCTGGAAGTGATGGACTTTGTGTTCTGTTAGTCTACAAGTGCAAGATCTAGGGAGGGTGAGGAATATTTAAATTAATAAGCTAAATTGGCATTTGGATACGGCAATGGGATATTCCATATCATATCACTTCATGTTCAGTATGTTAGTGAGAGTCTCTTCCTCTTTTGGCTCTCTCTGGATTTCACTCAGGCTCTCACTCTTCTGGGATTGTGGTTTCGGTTTGGGATTGTTGCTCCTCTGGGATCGTTATCTGGGAATGGGCCATGCTTGGTTGGTGGGTGGTGAGCAATTGCACTGTGTATCACTCATTTGCATATTTTATTACTATTATAATTATTATTTTAATATCATTATTATTTTAAGTTGTATTTTATTTCAGTTATTAAATTGTTCTTATCTCAACCTATGAGTCTCCTTACCCTTGCCCTCAACTCTCTCCCCTATCCCCTGGGGGAGGGGGGAGTGAGCAAACGGCTGCGTTTGGCTGCTAGCCAAGTGCCAGCCAAGTGCCAGCCCAGTGTATTTGGGTGTATCTTGTAGAAGGAGCAGCTACTAAGAGAAGCTGCATAAAATTAAACATCATAGGTATAATTATTATGACACATTAAGATGTTATACACAATCATACAATTTTCTTTTGCAAATGTATCATAAGTGTTTTTTAATATTCAGCAGACATGCTTTCTGGTCTCCTTTCCTTTTGTTTCTTACCAAACTCCTTAGATTTTTAAACCATACTATTGCTAGTATTTGTTACCTATTTAGACTGAGTTGTAACAGAGCAGTCTCTAAAGCCCAGATCCATGAAGATGTTTAGAAGTGTTATTCCTGTTACACATTCCCCAGGGGCTTTCCTTTTTTTTTTTTTTTCTTCCCCTAAAGGGAAGAAAGGTTTTTAAGCAAAATTTAGACAGCTTTCAGAAACCTGGGCCTAAAAGCCTCTACAAGCAGAAAAGGAGCTCCTCAGCTGACTGACTCTAGTCAGATACTGAAATTCTGAGATTTAGGATGTGATGATGGCAATTAATTTCAGGTAAAATACCAAGTAGGAATATCTTTGACCTAGAAAAGGCTTGAAATGACAAGTCTCAAGTCTTGGGTAGAAAAATATAAATTACTAGTATCCTAAATCTGAGGAATTGTTGTGGAACAACTCATGGGTGATGTGCTGAGATTCAGGATCTTCATAAGCACCTAAAACTCTTTCAAGCAGTATTGAAATGTTCATAAATTGCTGTGCAGGATCAACTATGACGTTTGATTTCATTTTTAAAAATAGATATGGTAGGATAAGGATTTTCTGATTTGAATATTGAAGTCGCAGTTATAAGAAATAATCAAACATTTTAAGCTTATGTATTTTTTATGACACAATATACATATGGAGATTTTTATCTCTCTGATGAAGTAGAAAGGCAAGAGATAATTTATTCCTCATCTAACTTTACAGCTCATCAGACAGCTGTGCAATTTATCACGTGTTTTTTGCTGTACTGCCTGTGTTTTAGTATTCTAACTGCTCCATGCCTTTAACCAGTGCCTTTCCTCTCTCTAGCCTCAGTCACCTTGAGAAAGAAGTTTTTTTGCTCCACATTTTGCAGATAAAGAATTTACAATCACAAGACAGTCTTCAGACAGGTGCTACAGAGTGGTAAAGATTCAATCCTTTCACAGTGACAATTTTGAACCATAAAGGTTATTGCCTTAAAGACTGTATCTTGCAGTGCTTCATAGGCCTGAATATGGGCAGTATTCAGAGTTCTAGAAAGGGTCAGATACTTGCTGTCAAATGAGCTACAGAAGCAGATTACTCCTATTAGATAATTTTTTTTTTTACAATTGTTGCACGTTTTCCTATCTCATCCCATTCTCTGAGTACTGTATTTGACTCACATTAAAGGCACCAGGATGCAGAGACAGTCACAGGTAAAAAGTAAGTT